TTTCCTGGATGTTGCCACACTCCTTACAATTCCACTCGAAAATCTCTGAGGAAAACATTGCAGTATTTGCGCTTATGCCTGGCATCATCTGTAGCCACTTGGCTGACGACAACGGTTCTGTGCAAAAGCACTCCCTGCCCATTTGGTCCAGCTTTCTCCAAACTTGTTTTCGCTCAAAGACCACACTCAAGTGTGTTTGGCATCTTCGGCCCTTGAATTAGGGGTTGAGATGTTTGTGCCAGACCAACCGGAGCTGAAGGCAGTGCAGTTGTTCTGAATGAGGTTTGGTCCTTGGCAGTCAGGCACGTTGCGGGTGGGGGCACCATGCTGCAGTGAGGAAGGTTGGTCTGGCGGCTGGAGCCAGGGCTCAAGTTCCAGCTTGACCTTCTCCACATATGTCTTCAGGCAAGTTGGCCTCAGCTCCCCCCCGCCCCCCACCTTAGGGATAAAAACAGGGAAATCCATTAGGTTGGTGTGGGTGGTTTGCGGGAATTCATTGGTTATTGGAATTTTTTCTTAAGTTAAACTTTATCTTTGTTTAATAAGACCATTAAAAACAATCTTCAGAAGCTTCACTACCGTCACATTTCATAAAAGAAAGAATATTTTTAACACTCCCAAAATAGAAAGGAAATAATCGAAGAATAAAGGACAGTCTTTTACATTGAATAAATTGAGCTTTATGAAAAATTCAGGGCATTGTTTCTCTCTTTGTCATTCTTGCTGCAGATCACTGTAAACTCAAAGATCCCCAACAGCCCTAACCGGTTTGGCTCAGTGGATAGAGCGTCAGCCTGCGGACTAAAAGTCCCGGGTTCAATTCCAGCCAAGGGCATGTACCTTGGTTGCGGGCACATCCCCAGTGGGGGTGTGCAGGAGGCAGCTGATCGATGTTTCTCTCTCATCGATGTTTCTAACTCTCTATCCCTCTCCTTTCCTCTCTGTGAAAAATCAATAAAATATATTTAAAAAAAAAAAAAAAGATCCCCAACAAACATTTGAGAACCAAGATCTGCTAGGTCCTTTCATCTTGCAAAGTCTATTAAATAAGATGGCATTTATGTTATAGATTTCTGGGTTTTTGTTTGTTTGGTTGGTTGGTGGGGGTTTTTTGTTTGGTTTTGGTTTGGTTTTGTATCATAGCCTGCTAGCCCCATACATTTTCAAAATTAACCTTGGGCCACACCTTCATAGCCAAAGATTATGTGGTAGAGACAATAATGGAAATGGCTTTTTCCAAAGGCACACCTGAATTATGTAGTAGGGAGTGGGAGGGAGAATTTGAGTCTAGAGAAGGGACCCAACTCAGTAGGAGGCCCGTGTGCTCAGGCAAGTGCTGAGGTGTCTGCAGACCCAGCCAGGTGGGAAAACGGCAGGCAGTTAGATAAACAATGAGGTCAAACTCTCACCTAAAATAACTAAAATATGTTTGTTTCCTTTAAATCCAAGTTAAATTCTCTTGTCTCAATTCTTCTGTTTCAAACTAAACTTTATTTTCCTGGACTCCTCCTAAATAATATGGCAGCCCCATTATTTATGGGAAATTTAGGGAACAGCTACAATTTTCCCTCTTTCAACCTCAGTCATTGATTCAGGCTTGGCCTCGAGTCGTCTGAAAGAAGTTTTTTTCTCTGAGTGTCTCCTTCCCAGGCCTTAATCAGAATTTATATAGCCGACGGAGTCAAGACTCTACAATATATCTCTTTACATAGCAGGTTATTCACAGTAAAAAATGTTGGCTCCTATAGGAGCTCTTATGCAACCCAACCCATCTGTATTTGATAACCCAGGGCTCGGGGGGCGGGAAGGGATTGCTGAGCAGGTGCTTCCTTTGGCTTATGTCCTTGGGTAGCTCTTTCTTCTTCGCATGCAGTGACCAGTTTGTCCAGGACAGGGGGCAGTCACGGCATTCCCTTCACAACCAAGGGAAGGAGCACCCTTCTCCATGGAAACGCATACCTGCCCAAGTTCGTTTTCACCTGGAGGTAAATGTAGCCAGACATCCTCTTCTTCTGAAACGAGGATAGTCATAACAGGGCTCTATTTCTTGAAAATTGGGTTTATTGTAATAATTACTATATTTTGAGAACCGGAATGAGGGCCAAGCCTCATTCACTCAGTTTTGATTTGGTCCCTACCATGTGGTAAAGATACAGAAAAAAGTCAACGGCTCAGCCAACATAGCTCAACGGTTGAGCCTCAACCTCTGAGCCAGGAGCTCATGGTTCGATTCCCAGTCAGGGCACATGCCTGGGTTGTGGGCTCGATCCCCAGTGTGGGACATGCAGGAGGCAGCCGATCAATGATTTTCTCTTCATTGATGTTTCTATCTCTCCTTCTCCCTTGCTCTCTGAAATCAATAAAAATATTTTTTTAAAAATCAACGAAGAGAGATAGAGTTTTTAGTACTCAAAGAATCACAGAATCTAATTTATGAGGGACCATAGGCTCTCGAACACCCCTCAGTCCTGCAGGAGATCCTTGTGCTGCCAATTTAGGGTTGCCAGTAAAATACAGGATGCCTGATTAAGCTTGAATTTCAGATAAACAACAAGTACTTTTTTAGTAGAAGTATGTCTCAGATATTGCTTGGAGCATACTTATTGGGATATATATATGCATACATTATTTATTGTTTATCTGAACTTCAAATTTACCTGGGCATTTTTTATTTTATTTCCTAAATCTGGCAACTCTACCAATAATAATATCAACAACAATAATAGCGACAATGCCTGCTAATCTTAGAAAGGCAATATAGCTTGTTTTTTTGTTTGTTTGTTTGTTTTAAATATATTTTATTGATTTTTTTACAGAGAGGAAGGGAGAGGGATAGAGAGTTAGAAACATCGATGAGAGAGAAACATCGATCAGCTGCCTCCTGCATATCCCCACTGGAGATGTGCCGCAGCCAAGGTACATGCCCTTGACCAGAATCGACCCTGGGACCCTTGAGTCCGCAGGCCGACGCTCTATCCACTGAGCCAAACCGGTCAGGGCGGTAATATAGCTTGTTGATTAAGAATGTGAACTCTAGCCCAGCTAGCATGGCTTGGTGGTTGACTGTTGACCTGTGAACCAGGAGGTTGCGGTTCGATTCCCTGTCAGGGCACATGCCCAGGTTGCGGGCTCGATCCCCTGTGGGGGACGTGCAGGGAGAAGCCAATCAATGATTCTCTTTCATCATTGATGTTTCTATCTCTCTCTTCCTCTCCCTTCCTCTCTGAAACCAGTTTAAAAAAATGTTTTGTTTTGTTTTTTAAAAAAGAGTGTAAACTCTAGAACCCGGTTGCCTGGGTTTGGAGCACAGCTTTGCTACTCACTAGCTTGTGACTTTGAGCAAGTTTTAAAGTTTCTCTATGCCTCAGTTTCTTCATAGTAAAATAGGATTCAAGTAGTAACAGAGTTGTGATTAGGAGCTTATATTAGTACCATGCAATGTGTATATGTTTGATCAGTGTTATTGTTAGTTAACATTTAGTCTACAGCATTATAGACATTTCTTATCCGATTAATAATTTTAATAATAAATTTATCTGTTCTGAATTTTTGCCTAAAAAGAAGTAGGCCATTAATCAATCTATCGGTGGCCTCATCTGGCTTTGGCACTTGAAATTACATTTGCTCGTGTCCCTCCTTCTGTGACTCTGGCGACTTTTAGTTCTGATTCACTGCCTCATTCTCATTTTCTCTTAGTGCCATGGACTGCCCCCACTGGTTCCATCTGGCTGTGCTTTTCAAACCACCCCATCTTCTGTACTGTCATTTCAATTCATCCCTTTCAAGTCAGAGATCTTTCTGGTCAGTGAAAAAGGAAGCAAAATTGCAACCGAATCATTCTGCATTCTTGCCTTTGTGTATAAATATTAATTTTTAAATATTGTATGATTTATCCAACACTTGGCTTATTTGTGTTCAATAGTAATACCAAAGCTGCATCTCAGAGGTGTTAACATGTGACAAAACATGCATCTTGAAGTATGTGAATTAAGGAAATTGCATCTACAATGCCAGACATGGTGCTAAGCATTTTGTAACATCGAATTCTCATAACAGCCCTATTGAGTAGGTCCTGTTTTACCCCACCATCCATTAACTGCAGCTTACAGATATGACTTACCCAAGGTCAGGAAGAACTGGACTTGGGGAATGAGGCGGTCTGACCAGAGTTACCTCACTGCTCTATTAGACACCTGGATCCTAACATATAAATTTATAAATGTCTCTTTAGGGGAGGAAATCTCATAGCCTTACATCTTCAACTGCAAAATTTCTAAACAGTGGGAAATCAGTGATTAAAAGAAACAATTTTGAGTATGTGTGTGGTTTAGTGTTTTTTCATTGTTTTCTTTTTTTATGATCTTTTTCCTCTGTGAGGGCAGGGACTTTTGTCCAGTGTGTGTATTTTGTTCACTGCTGTATCCCCAGCATCTAGAACAGCGCCTGGCATGTTGTAGACATCCAGTTCAAACTAGTTGATTGCTGAATGAATACATGAAAATATCTTTTTGTTACAATAACACTTGATTAAGAATGTGTCGTATAAAAGAATTAAGACTTAGTATGAACTGAGAGGACTTCCTGGATTCCCCATGCAGAAATAACACCTCCTTCCCCTCAGCCTGATCTGTATGGGTTTGTAATTGTCTGCTCTGAATAATTTAGATACAACTCAGTTCCCTAAGCTTCCAAAGAGTTCATCTTGTATCCCTCTATCTGTTAAATGAGTAAATGAATACATTCCTAGTATACCTAATAGATAAGAAAGGTCCCAGGGAAAAACAATATCATTTGAAAAGAGGAATGATAACTGCTCTTTCACTCCTTGGTCATTTCTGTTTTGTTTTGTTTGTTTTTTTCTAGTTGTGTGTCACCAGTCTTAAAGGAATAAGCTTCAATTCATTTAATATTTCTTTTTGTAGCACCTTGGTAATTAAGTTCATTCCTCTTCCTGGAGAGGAACAAAATCTGAGCTAGCTGGTAATTGCCTTTGTCTTTATTTGTAATCTTTTAGAAAACAAGTACACAAGCTCTTCCTTGAACAGTCGTGAATTTTTTATAACATCTGTTTACTTAATTTAAAAAAAATGTGTAGCTATGAAGATTAACAATGGACCTTAACTGGATATAAATTCAGACATATATAGGATCCGTCTTAATCTCAGTCAACCCTTTCAAGCAGATGCCATATTTTGGGGATAAGGAAATTGAAATGTACCAAGGAGCGGTAAGTTACGTGCCCCGGGAATTACTGCAGTGTTTTTGGCTTCTTTGATGCTGGGTAGTTTTTCTTGATGTTGGCAATGCATTTGCATTTCCTTAGTATGAGTTATTATTGGGAAAGATCAAGTAGGTGACATGTTTGATTTTTCTTTTTTAGTAAAAGGCGAAAGATTTATGCGATCTGAAGTAGGTGACATGTTTGATTTTTCTTTTTTAAAAAAAATATGTTTTTATTGATTTTAGAGAGAGAAGAGGGAGAGGGAGAGAGAAACATCAATTGGCTGCCTCCTGTGCATCCCCCACTGGGGATCAAGCAGGCCCGAAACCGGGGCATGTGCCCTGACTGGGAATTGCAACCGAGACCTCTTGGTGCACGGGTTGACGCTCAATCCATTGAGCCACACCAGCCAGGGCCATTGTTTGATTTTTTTAATGTTGTGCTGCTCTTCCAAGTGCAGCTCAAGAAAGCATAGGACTATCTAACATTGGAGCATTATATATAAAATTAGTTAAATGGGATGTAAGACCTACAGGTTGGGGGACCTTCCTCTTTCCACACATGCCACAAAACTCTAAAACTAAACAACCAGTAATGGGTAAAAAATAAATTGGGCGATGGGGATCATTCTGTCTGAATCAGACCCTGAAACTGTGGCTATGACTGGAACATGAAACATGAATCTTTTATTACTTCATTTATTAATGTGAGTTCGGTCCCAGTTCAGACACAGCTCCATAGCCAATTCAGTTGTGTGACAAAAATGGAAACTGTAATCCTCATCAGTGCGTTTCCTTATGTGGTTCATCACTTCCCCAGGCCTCCCCATCTCTGCATCCTTTCCCCTTCGCTCTTTCCTTTGCAGCAGAAGCACAAGAGCATTCATTACTCCTGACCCCTGGAAAACAAACAAAGGAGAGCCCACACAGATTCATCAGTTGAAGTGGAAGGCAATTTACCCAGAGCAAGAGCTCACCCCATTGTTGCCAGATGAATGGTGCTGGTCGCTAGAGCCGAAGGAGGCTGCCACGCGAAAGACCTTTGATAATGCTGCCTTTATGGGAGCCCAGCACAAGGGCACACTGTCAACAGAGGCTGGGCCCTGCCCTGGCGCCCTGATCTGCAGGCCAGGAGCAGCAGGCGCGGGCTGGCCTGGCATTCTCAATGCCGGCCGGGGCGGGGTGGGTGCAAGTGCTGTGCATTGGTGGTGTTTCTTTCCAGTCCTCTGAAAAGCGTTGCTATGAGTCCCTTTTAGACCATTCATCTTGTGAAGAGTTCTCCTTAAAGGAATGCCCTAGAATTTTAAAAATACATATTTATTTTTAACTGCTAATGATAACCACGTGTTGTAAAATCGGTATTTACTGAGTGCCAGGTGTTACGTTACTTGTGACAAATAATACAACAGCCCTGGATGCTGGCTGTGTATTGCTCTCTGTCCCCATTTCACAGATGAGGAAACTGAGGCTCAGAGAGGTTAAGTACTCGAATCTGTTGACTGTTGGAGCTGAAGTCAGATCCTAATGACTTTCAGGGGCTTCAGGGGAGGAAAGAATCATATAGAGGAAATACCTACCTGATAATTCTCATAGGTAGCTGAGAGGTTCCGTGAGACCATAGATTGGAAACCATCTTGAAAAACAATCACTTGCTAAGGACAAGTATAACTAGTTCATCAGCTTTAAAGCCTTATTGGACAATGACTTGCCCACACCTTTCCCTCCATGCCCACAGCTTTCTCTCCACTCCATTTCCTTCTATTTTCCTCTTTTCTTTCTTACAGTCAATTTCCCTGTTTTCAAAGAGGTATTGAAAATAATCCTGCATAAGCAATCTAGGCTTGAAGGCCATTTTAAGACAATATCCTGAGGTCCATCCATGCATCCCCTTCTGACTGTAAGGTGATGGCAGGAACGTACTCTTGTTCCTGTTTGGAGTTGTTCAGTTGACAAGTCCCAGGAATAGCCTCCGACCCTCACTGGGCAGTTCCCCTGGGGAGCCTCCTGCTCACAATATGAGGGAAAGCGTGGACACTGGATCCACCAGTTCCAAACATGTGTGCAGGCAGCAAGCACCCTCTTTTCATCCCCTTCCATCACTCAGTTCTGATCTACCAGAGCTTGCAATGAATGGCAATTTCTGGGCCAGGCCCCCTTTTCTATTAGTAAGTCATTGTATAATAAGGCCCGAAGCTGGATTGGTAAATGATACTGCACCTTTGCATAAGACTCTACTTTTTCAAATTCCATCCCCATCCATCATCTCAGTTACCCTGTGACATTTGTAGCACCAGCATTAGTATCTCCACTTTAGAGATGGGCACCAGGGAAGGGAAAGACACAATCTAACGCCTTCTCACTCGTTCTGGTATTGTTTTCACTTTTTTATGTTAGACTAGAGGCCCGGTGCATGAAATTCGTGCACGGGTAGGGTCCCTAGGCCTGGCCGGCGATCAGGGCCAATCAGGGCTTTCCGGTTGCTGGTCAGGGCCTTCCTGGACGCCACCCCCTGGTGGTCAGCACATGTCATAGCGAGCGATCAAACTCCCGGTCTCCCGGTCGAACTCCTGAGGGGACACTTTGCATATTAGCCTTTTAGATAGATAGATAGATAGCCTTAAACTGAAGGAGTGCTTTCTCCAGCTTTACACCACATGAAGTATTTTTCTTTTTAGCATTTTTCTTTTGAGCGAATGGTGGAGGTGGATGCCAAGAATAGAATTGAAGAAAGTAGGGCTACAGTTGTCCTGACACAGTTAATGTATTGGTGAATTTATATTTATGCAGAGCTAAGATACCCCATGAAACTAAAACCCAGGGGAATATCCTAGTGTGCCAGGATTTTTTTTCCCCTACTGAGATGAAAACAAACTGACCAAACCAGTTGATCACTTTAAAGAACCACACCTCTTGTTCTCTTCTTAAGGAAAATTTTGGTTTTCTCCTCATTCATAGCCATCTCCAACTTGCCTCTTAGAAAAAAAATTGTGTAGGAATTTAGAATTCTAGTAAAATCAGACCCAGGGGTTTAGTAGGCCTGTTGCCCCAGGGCCTTTAGAAATGTTTAGCAGTGGAACGTCACTTGCGGAGGCGTGTTGGGGTGGAAGGGCGTGTGCTGGAGTATATCTGAAGGCATGGGGCATGTCTGAATTCTGAATCACTCAAACACCTACAGAAGAGCACCTCCAGATGTCACCTTTATTTTGTTAGGTGTAGCTCCTCGTGACCTAGACAATTTTATGAATTCTTGTGTTATGTAACCTATAAGATATAATTATAAGCATTGGAACTATATAGTGGTATAAGCCAAGAAAATAAAAAATCTAATGTGTTGCTTTATCTGACCATGGTTTGGTTTCGTTTTGTTTTGCTTTTCTAGGCACAGTACGAAAACCCACCCCACATCTATGCGCTTGCAGATAATATGTACAGAAACATGATCATTGACCGAGAGAACCAGTGTGTCATCATCAGGTACGGACAGAGCCTTCCTCGGGGTAGAGGATGTGAGGTCATGCTGTAGTTAGAGCTTCTACCGAGAAGCAGTGCTTTCGCAACTGCTGCTGGCGTAGCTGAGTAACAGTCACGCTGCCTGCTTGGTCTTGGTTCGTTTTCTAATTCCAAATCATAAAAGCTTTTGAGCTTCTGTGGGGTTGGGCTGCTTTTTTAAAATTTTTATACCCTGTCACATATGGCATTAAGGCTTTAGGGCACAAGGTGTAGCCAGATCTTTTATTGATCATCACTGGGGCCTTGGACTAAACATTGTAAAACCCCTTTCCTCCCGTGTGATCATGCCGTGGCTTGACTCTAAGATGAAGATCCTTTATGTCACGAGCTTCACTGTTCTGTCAGCAAGCGTCCTTTTCTCTAGGTCCCTCTTTTTTCTTTTTCCAGTAATTTAGTTCAAGTTTGAACTTTTTGGTGTACTTTGTCATTTGCTTTTAATTTTCAGTGGGCATTAGTGGTAAATGCCAGCATTACCCATCTGTCTGTAGCTACATGTCAAAATCCTTTTAACCTGACCTAACTCTGGGTCTTTGCTGGGGTTAAGTGCCTTTACAATTTTGTTTACTATTATGAACATTTGCAAACACGGAGAAAATGTAAGCATCCATATTCCCATCGCTGAGAACTTGACAGCTGTTAACATTTTGTCATATTTGCATTCATCTTTTTTAGTTCTTTAATTTTTTTATCTGAAGCACTTCTGAAAATTTTTTTATTAGGGATATTTGCAGACATATACAAAATTTAAAAAGAGTGTTACAATAAACCCCTGTGTGTCTCTCATCCAGCTTGTACATACAGCCAATCCTGTTTCCCCTAACCCTTCCATCCTGCTTCCACTTGGTCATTTAAAGCAAATCCTGGGTGGCAAATCATTATTTGTCAATAATGTATTATGCGCCTCTCAAAGATAAGTTATGTCACACCTAAAAAATGAATAATTCTTTTAATATCACCCTATATTATCAGTTTTATTCCATGACTGTGTTGTAAATTTTGTTAATAGTTTGTTTCTATTTGGGTTCCAAACAAAGCTCACACATTGCCCTCGACTGCTATGCCTCTTAAGTCTCCTCTTTTTTTTTTCTTGGCATTTATTTGTTAAAGAAAAAGCTCTTTTGTCTTGCAGAATTTTCTGTAGTGTGGGATTAGCTGATTGTATATGGTTCCCTCTTTCTCCTGTAAATTGGTGTCTATAGCTAAAAGCTTGATCAAGTTCAGATTCAATTCTTTGGCAAAAAAAAAAAATGCTTCATCAGTGATGCTCTGCACTCAGGACTTTTATTGGTGAATAATGCCTGTTGGATTGCCGGTGGGTCCATCCATTAGAAATTCTCATTATACTGTCATTCTTTAATTAATAGTTAAAAAATCGTTATTTTCCCCAAAAAATCATTATTTTCTATTCTTTCTTTCACATTTATTTATTAGGTTAACTTAAAATAAAATCTATTGGGGAGAACTAGCTAAAGAGTTTGATTTGTTGTCTTGACCAATTTTTCAAAGCAATGAGTTGATGCCCTAGCAGCCTCCCACGGTAATATGTTTTGGCTTCAGTATCTTTCCAAACCAGTGGGTTTTAAATATATTATCTGTTTAAACATTGCAGTCTTCCTGTTAGGCTCAAAAGGTCCTAACTTTGACCTTGGGAGCCCTTTATATTGGCTCCCATGTCCTCTTGATATGACCCCGGTCGTCTTTGGTAGCTTTCTTGTTTAAGATGTTCCAGACTCATCTTGTACATTTCCTGCCAAGCCCTGGAATCGGCCACTTCACCAGAAACCCCCGGTTCATTTTAATGGGCAATGATATGCAGAGACCACCGGCCTAGTCACTGGGTGCTCACTGCCGTATGTTGTCAGGGCTACTAGTTCTTTTCAAAGGACAAAGGAATATGAATTTTTTTAAGGAAAAAAGATGGAGCATAAGTTCACACTGGTAATTTTCAGTTCATTTTAAGATTATAGGATTTTTATATTTGTATCTCGTTTCTCTTAATGCTGAAAAATTTGGTTCCTACTGACATTATCACAATTATTTGATTTATACTATGTGTATAAATGTAAATATAAATACAAAAGAAGAAATAAATATGTGACTATATAGTTATATATAAATATGTAAACATATATAAGGGGATAAAGCAAATGAGCGATTTTGTTAATGATTTAAAACAACAGTACCAATGTTATTAATAGCAATACTGGATTAACTCTAAAATTTCTTTGTTGTTCTTTTTGTCCTTGGCATGTACAGTCAAAATATTGGGTTTTAAGAGCCACTTAAAATAATCCTTTTCTGTGTCATTAACATTCCAACTTGCCCTACAGTTAAGTCAATTTAATTTCATTTTGAATTTTAGGGGTTTAACATTTTAAAATTTTAAATTGTATAAAATATTTACATGGTTCCAAAGTCAAAACTATAAAACAAAGAACGCTGAAGTGTTTTCAAGGTAAATATAGACTTCATGATATTTTACTTCTAAATATTTTCATACACATCTCTGGAAAATAACCTTTTTTTTCCCTTAGCCCCAGGACCAGTATCACAACTAAATAATTAATAAAAACTTAGTATCATCTAAAAATAAGCAGTGCACATTCAGATTTCACTAATTTTTGCAAACACGCCTTTCCTGCTGGTTTATGTAAATCAAGGAACAGTGTTTCATTTGCATATGAGTCTTTCACGTATTTATTTATTTATTTTTTTAAAAATATATTTTATTGATTTTTTACAGAGAGGAAGGGAGAGGGATAGAGAGTTAGAAACATCGATCAGCTGCCTCCTGCACACTCCCTACTGGGGATGTGCCTGCAACCAAGGTACATGCCCTTGACCAGAATCGAACCTGGGACCTTTCAATCCGCAGGCCGACGCTCTATCCACTGAGCCAAACCGGTTAGGGCTTTCACTTTTTTATTTATATTCTATCACAGTTCCCCTAATACTGTCATGGTTTTTTTTTGTTGTTTTTTTTTTAATGACATTGACTTGGTGAAGATACCAACCCAATTTTCCTATGGACACCTTTTAAATTTATCTGTTTCCTCCTAATCTCATTACACTAATTCCTCCAGCTGGATTCTCAGTGAATTGCAAGGTAGATCTAAATACTTAATTAGATGCAGGTTAAGTCCTTTTGGAAGGAATCCGTGAGTGATGATGAGTTGGGTTGCTTAACAGGAAATGCTTCCGTTTGACCCCAAGTGGAGGTCTCTGGCCAATAGAGAGGAGGAGGGCGTTTTTGTAACTAGATCGAATGAGGGTACAGCATATGTTTTCTAATTCAGTCCCTTACCTGTTCTCCTTCCTCCTGAGCCTCTAGTGCAGCGGTTCTCAACCTGTGGGTCGCAACCCCTTTGGGGGTCGAATGACCCTTTCACAGGGGTCGCCTAAGACCATCAGAAAACATATATATAATTACATATTGTTTTTGTGATTAATAACAATGCTTTAATATGTTCAATTTGTAACAATGAAAATACATCCTGCATATCAGATATTTACATTACGATTCATAACAGTAGCAAAATTACAGTTATGAAGTAGCAATGAAAATAATTTTATGGTTGGGGGTCACCACAACATGAGGAACTGTATTAAAGGGTCGCGGCATTAGGAAGGATGAGAACCACTGCTCTAGTGAGATGAGAAAGGAGAATGGTCTTGTTGCCTGGGCTTCACAAGTCTGGAAGCTGCCGTCTTGCCCAGCCCACGTCTCTCCCACTCTCAGATCCCCTGAATGTGTCCCTGCAGGACACACTGCACTGAAGCAGGACCCATGCCCACTGGTGGGAGCCTTCTTTCCAGCTGTTCAGTTGGCCAGGGCCTGAGGGCTCCGCTCCCAGGATTTCCGTTGCACTGGCTGTGCTTTCGTTTAGAAGGTGATAGAACAGGTTGCTGCTTTGACTTCCGACACTAACTACCCAGAGTCAGGCCACACCTCACAAGTGAAGGGCACAGTCCTGCTCAAGACCGTCCTCACTTCAGACACAGGGGGGTCCGCAGACCACCCTCAATTCTGACCCGCTAGCTACAAATTCAGGGGTCCCTACCACCCTCTCAGTTCCAATAATTTACTAGAATGACTCACAGACTTCATGAAAGCTCTGAACTTAGGACTACCATTTTGTTCTAGCAAAAGGATACAAATCAAAAACAGAAAAAAATAGAGCCTCATAGGGCCGTGCCTGGGAGGGGTCCAGATGTGAGGCTTCTGGTGGTCCTCTCCCCATGAAGTCATGAATAGTGTCATTTCTTTCCAGTTATGGCAATAGTATTGCCAACCAGGGAAGTTCACCCAAGCCTTTGGTGTCCAGAGTTTTTATTTGGGTTCTGTCGCTGCATGGCTGACCTTTAGTCTGTTCCTCCAGGTGGGGGGAAGGGGTGGGCATGGTGAGAAGTTATATGGTGTTTTCAAAGCCTCCGTCCTAAATCGTATTGTTCGATATCACAAAGCCCCCAGGCAAACAGAGAGACTCCGGGTCAGGCGGGACATTCCAGGGCTCTAGAGACTATCCCCCAGTAGCCCAGGGCAAAAGCCCAACCTCTCTTATTACCCAAGAACTTACTTATTACCCAAGAGCTGTGGTTTGTGCACCGAGAAAATAGATTTGCTACCTCTGGCCGGCCATGGTCCTTTCTAGTGGCTCTGTGATCCTGGGCAGCAAACTTAGCGCTTGTCTGGGCCTGGGTCTCTTCATTTGTGAGAGAACTGATTGACCAGATGACCTCTGAGGTCTCTCCTGGTTTTGAGCTCTTTCTTCCAAATAATGCCAGAGGGAAGGGAAGGCAGGAAAATGCTCCTGTGGATAGAGAGGCCCAAGTTTGCGGCCAGTGACACTGGGAGAGCTGGGTACTTGTCCAGCCAGGGCCTGAGTCAAACGCAGACTGCCTGCATGCATTTGTGAACAGGAAGCAAACAAAACCCATTCTCCTGGGGCTGGAAGGGAAACTTG